TTTTTTACCAAATGATGTGAAGCTTTATCCTACAGAGTAAAATTAACTTTAAGTGATAGTGAGTCGCTTTGCCTACATCAATCTTCTTGTAAGACTACATGACTAGAGATCAGGTGAGAACATGGAGAGATTTACTGAATACTTTTTAATTACTCACCTGTGCAAAGTTAGCACTTGTTCAATATGCAATAATAAAGTCCAAATTTCAAACTGGGATTACACTCTAAATAATTCAAATCCCACAGAATCCCGTATAGCCAAGGACAAGTGTTCCCAGTATCCCAGGAACTAATCTGTCTTCCTGAGAATCCTGTAGACACTCCAAATCCATTTCCTAAATTGTTAGAAATAAATGGATCCTCACAACTCATAATCCAGAGTTGTCATTTTGACAAAATATGAGTTAATTGTAAAATAACATCATTAAAGTCATTACATGATTACTTAAATATACTTAAAATTTGTTATTTTTAGGTGTTTTACATATAAAAAGAACAAATATCCAACTTTGTTTTCTGCTACTATGTAAAAAACTATATACATTCTGTGCTATGATTGTTTAATTTAGCCACCAAACCACATGCTGGATCCCTAACCCTCGAAGGGATCAGGTAGAAAGTTAGAGATTTGAGGGACATGACTTTCACTTACATTTATCTTGCTTAGATGACGTGTAGCAGCTATGGAGAAGGGATAAGTGTACCTCTCATGAGGATGCAAAAAATGTCCCCCAATACCAATAAGGACCAGAAATCTTAATATAAATGTTTGTATATTCAAATTTCATGATATTCATAATAGTATTTGGAGGTAGCTCCCATGAAGAAGTCAGTAGATCGTAAAAACAACTTATCTTTCATTTTGCAGAAAATATCATTTGCTAATTTGTTCTTAGGGACCCCATTTCCACCTCCTTTCAGTTTTGGGACCTTATTTGATTTGAACTTATGTAGATTCTATGCATGCTGCCATGGCCTATATGAATATATTAGTTCTGTTGTGTCTGCAAAACTGTTTCCTATAAATTAGTGTCTCTCTCAGTACTATCAGAGAAGTTTCTTCTTGCAGTTGATGGAAAAGCCACACCTTGACAGTGTGCCGAGAATGAGAGACTTTGGTGCATGTAGTTCTAAATGGAATGTCTTCATCAAATCCCTCTCCGCAAAGCTTAGGGATTTCAGCATAAGACAAGGCAGAAGAATTGTATGCATAGAGATAATTGATGACTCCATTTATTAAATTTCCGTTAATACTAATGCACTGGATTTAGAATGACTATGTATATAAAGACATAGTAAAATCACTGTTTTAGCTCTAACAACTCTGAGTAATATTTGACTTTACTATTTCAGGCTCATGTTTGATTAATAACTTTAAGTGACATGTCTTAACTGCCTTTCTGTTGCAATGAGAAAATAACTTTACAGCATCGTTTAAGAGAGAGAACTATGGTTCATAGTTTCAGATCAGGAGATTAAGGGCAAGAGTAGCTTAACATAGCTGGTTATATTACATTCAAGACTGAAAAGCAGAATGTGATCAAGTCATTTGAGTGCTTAACTTACATTCTCCATTTCGTTCAGGCTAGTATTCCATAACAAGGGAATTGTCCTACCCAGCATTTAGATGGTCGTACCACACTAACTATCAAAATAAGATAATTCTACAATGGTTAGGGGGACCTGACCTAACCTAGATTATACTCCAAGGTATGTCAGACAGGTACTTTTTACTTAATTCTAAATCTGCAACTGGACTCTCAATATTAACTATCATGGTATCCATTTATTGCTTAAATATTTGGAGTCCTTTGTTCTAACATATTTTCATAAATAAGAAAAATGCATGTAATACAGGTTCAAATGTAATTTTGTGATATACTTATTTTCCATTAAATAAATGTCTCATTATTTTGCCCACAGTTTAGTTTCAACTGAGGGCTTCAATAAATAGTAACATTGTAAAATTCCTCACAATTAATGTTCATTTATGGTTATAAAATATAGATAAAACACACTAAAATAGAGTCCTGCTCTTTTAGGGTAAAATAAAACCATGATTGTTTTAAAAACTTTCAAGTGGTCATCCCAATTACAGAATGGCAAATAATCAGGTCATCAATGATTTTTTACTTGCAAAGTTATTATTAGCCTTCTATGAGGTCATTCCTATATTAGGAAGCTTGTAGACAGTAAATTATGCATGCATGTTTTGCAATCCAGAAAATTCCATTAAAAGATAAAACAAAATATTATTTATTATTTATTTTCTTTTAAGTAATGAAAAACAATGATAAGCATTCTAATTTAATATATCTTTGATTTATTGTTCAGAGGTAATCAAATAAGCAACCTCAAACTATATAGAAGAATATTTCACTTCATACTTCATAATGTTATTTATCTAAGTATTAGAGTGGGTTTATGAAAAGTAAATTAAATAGAAATCATTTCACTAATATTTTAAGGAAATTCTATTTGAATAATCAATTTCCCATACAATAATCTTGAGTTTATTTTATTAGTTCATAGACTTTAATTTGAGGGAAACTAAAAAAGATGCCTGCACAAAACATTTTTCTTAAGGAACAAATGCCATTATAATAGCTAATGTGCTTATAAAACTCATAAGTAAAGAAATGTAAGGTTAAATTTCCAGGAAATAAAATGAAAAGTGCCAAAAATAATATGTTAAAAAATCCAAATAAATAACATGTGTGTGTATGGAAATACATTGCTTTTCTAAGTATTCTTCTTTTGTGTGTATGCTGATATTGAATCTAATCACTATTTGTATATTGTCCAGATTTAAGTAGTGCAATTATGTTTTAATAATTTTGGGAGGCGTCTGACACCCGAGACTACAGCACTGGAGAAACACTTGTCAGATGCAATTAATGTTAAATGGAAGTGTGGAAAGTTCTAAGCATTCATAATATTGACCTTCACCTAAACTCAGATCTACATTAGGAATAGATTGCCCTCCATCTACTATACTTTAGAAAGAGTCTTGCTGAGACGACTACACATCCCCATATGACACAGCCTCATCCTCTAGCGCTCTTTTGATCCTTGTCAGACTTATGGTTGAATTCTTATTTACCTATGATGAGACTAAAACCAGATCTCTCCTTATTTGTGTGGATTTGACTAAGTTATACAGTCCAATTACAGCATTCTTACTTTCCAGTGCGGTTAAGTAAACTCATTCCTCTAAAATTACTAGACAGGGAAATGAACATTTTCTGTCTAGCTGACAAAGATATCCCTCGATGGCCAAATCAATTCTCACTGTAAATCATACCAACTATCGCTTGTCTGCCACACTTTATAAAAGTTTAAAGCAATAACATCCTGCCAAGGCATCCTTTAGAGCAGGATGCATCCTGGATAAGTAAAATTTCTCATGTGGTCCTGACTTTCAGAAGGGAAACATAAAAATGTGTATCTAACAAAGAGATGAGAACACTTCTTTTACAAGACATTCAAAAGCATAATATTTTTAATATACAAATTTCACCAATAAGACCCTTATAAACTTAAGTTTATGTTGAATTGCTACAGTTAAAAATGAAACTGAGTTTAATCGAACTTATTAGTGGAATTATTAGAATTAAATGAACACACACACACACACACAATACTGTATCGGCATACACCACAGAGAACTATGTGGGGTTCAGAGGAAGCATTATTAGAAAGGTAATAATGTCTGATATTATTGCTGTTGTTATGCCTTTTTAGTGTTCACTGTTCTGATTACCATTTTTGTTTTTCACAGGGTTTTTTGGGTTTAATTTTTGTTGTCTTAAGTTTAAGAACATAAAAAATGTAAAAATATTTTTTAAATTTTTATTGGTTATTTTATTTATTTACATTTCAAATGTTATCCCACTTCCTGGTTTCCCTTCCATAAAGCCCCTATCCAACCCCCGTCCCTCCTGCTTCTATAAGGGTGCTCCCCTAAAATAATAATTTTGGAGAAATGCATCATATTGAGCTAGTTGGATGAGATAACACCATTGCACATAAGTTGTAGTGAGTGGTGAGAGTTTTTGTGAGGAAATATCCAGAAAAACAATTTATGTAAATTACAGTAAGTTACCAGAATAAAAAGAGAAATTTCTCCAAATTGTGAGCATAGGTCTACATTGTAAGGATTGTGAATTGTTCTACAAAGTTATAACTTTGTGAATTTTTAAAAGCATATCGTGACTACACTACCATTCAAGCCTGATTGGAAAGGCTAATTTTTATGGTTTATGGATAAGTAAACTATAAGAGAGACAAATCTAGTACTCCCTGATTTATTTACTCAACAGTAGGTCACGAAAATCCACAGACACTAGACAGGTATTTTGTTTCTGGAAGTTTAATAAGTAAGTAAATGGTATCTGATCTCAAGAAACCTTCATTAAATCTAGATAATAAGCAGCAAGGAAAAGTGAATAAATTATGTTATAATAGATATTAAATACAGTAGTTAATTTTCTTGGCATGACAGCATACTTGACAAATAAACAAATGGAAGAAAGAAAGAAAGAAAGAAAGAAAGAAAGAAAGAAAGAAAGAAAGAAAGAAAGAAAGAAAGTAAGAGTTGACTAAGGTTCAGAGATTGAGAAGACATTCAGTTCTGGAGAGAAAGGCACTGTAGCAGGAGCCTGAGATGACTGGATGCATTGTGTTCACAGTCAGGAAACTGTGAGAAAGAAAAATATTGGTGATCACGCTTTTTTTTTTTCTATTTAAATTGAGCTTTATATATCATTTTTTACTTACTGACTTTACATCCCACTCTTTGCCCCCCCATCTCCCCTCCCACAATCTTTCCCTCATCCCACTCTCCCCTTCTCCTCATGGCAGATAAGACCCCCTGGATATCTCCTCCACCAAGATACTTGAAGTCTCTCCAAGGCTAAGTTCTTCCTCTCCTACTGGGGCCAGCAAAGAAGCCCAGCTAGTAGAATATATTCTACATACAGGAGTAATCTTTGGGATAGCAAAAATATGGATCACTTCATGAATTCGCATGTTATCCTTGCACAGGGGCCATGCCAATCTCTTAGTAGCATTCCAATTTGAGTATATACGTGTGTGTGTGTGTGTGTGTGTGTGTGTGTGTGTGTGTGTGTGCTGATGAAGTGAGCCCTCTTTATTTTCTCCTATACATTTTGGTTTTGCTATATCGCCATTAGATACAGCTGTCCAAATTCAGAGTGGGCATTGAAATCTACCTGGAATATATATATATATATATGTTTCCAGACTGTGAACACAATATATCCAGCCATCTAAGATTATATACACAAATACTCACAAATCTTAAAGAAAACAAAAGACAATAGTATCTATTTGAATATTGGGTGGCTCTGATAATTACACAACATGGTTATTAGACAACAAAAGAGTTCAAAGACTATTTCACCTACAGGCATCAAAAATTGACTTTGTAACTTTATATGGTATAGATGGTGAGGTGGAACAGTCACTGGATGACCTTTCCTTCGGTCCCTGCTCCACACTTTGTCTCTGTATCTCCCCCAGTGGGTATTCTATTCTCCCTTCCCATTTTATCTATAACATCATTAAGCATCCTAACGAAAAGGGAAAAAATTGACCATTTTATACCTTCAATGAGTCCTAGATAATGTCAATTTTTAGAAAAACACTGTAAGCATTTATTTAATTTTTACTGTAAATAATTGAAATAAATGTCTCTATGCCAATTTTCCATCAATTTTACAAACATTATACACATGAGTCTTGGTATCATCAATTTGAAGATTAGTATATTTAAATCCTACTTTTAATGGGAGAATTGTCATAATTCATATGCCAGTCTTATGCGAGTGTGTACCTTTCAAAAAATATTTATGTGATATGGAGATGATATTAAAATGATTCATTTCTGCAAAATAAAGTATGTAGAACTAGAACACAAGAAACCAAATAAAGAGGACTAAGAATTTGGCTTTAACTAACAAATGTTTTCTTAAACTAACATGATAGAGCGTCTTCATGTGGCAAAAGTTTTTAGACTATATACTAAACTACAGGGGAAACTGACTATTTGAAAGTTTTAGCAAAAATACATTTAAATCTTTAAAGTTTGCTAAGTAATATTTTATTGTAGAAAGATATATCTTGTACAACTAAGAAAGAAAGACTTAACGTTATCCAGAAAGGAGGAATAAAACATGTCGGAAGCACTGCACTCGCTTCAGGAACAGGAATCCAGTGTTGCAATGCTGCTGCACTCATAAACTTATCTTCTTCGTAAATTCCTTCTAGCTATCATGGTTGACTGTATGATTCTGCATTTCATCCAAAGAAATTATTTTATGTATAAATGACAGCAAGTAAAATAAGCTAACCTCGGTTGCACCTGCACACTGGACATAGCTTCTTCAACTGCTGTGTAGACGTAGGTGTTTCTGACAATTCCCAGCTTTCACTTGTCGGAATGAAAAGTCACAGGGCACTTGGAGACTTGAGGTTGAGACAAGTTCAATCAAACAACTTGGAGAAAGCCCTGAGTGTAAATGCGAAAAACAGCAGGGACTGTGTATTACAGTGCAGACAGCTTTCATAAAGAGATTCTCATCTCTCCTCCTTTTTAAATGAACCAATGCAAATGACATTTAAATTGTAAGTCTGTAGTGAATACACTCAAATGTCCTTTCTCAGCAGTAATGAGTGTACATTAGAACACATAGATATTTAAACAATAACATATGGTGAATATGCTCTGATGCTTTTAGAAGAGAAACAGCCAGGGAGGAAGCTTAAGTTTTTAACCTTGACTGAAAAATAGATCTTATTAATATTTGTCTTCTTACAGTGGTATATTTAAAATAAATTCTTAGAGCTCTACCTATTATTCTCAAAGGTTTAATAAAAACTTCAAGACATACAATTAATATTTGAAAATCAATTAACAAACTGTTGATTATCTATTTAAATATTCCTTCCAATGCTCAACTAGGATACCAAATATTATTAGTTCTCAATCGTATGGGGGAAGAAATAGTTACATGGATTTGAGGCATATGGTTATTTTGTGGCTTTTAGTAAATTCTAGTATTAATAATATCAAAATCCATTCCAAGTTACATAATAATGTGTAAAATATCACCTTTTAAAATCGAGCTATTTTGTCATTTCTAATGCTATTATTTCTCCCATAACAGACAAATATATTGAAAGGAATATTATGATTAGTCATATGCTCTAAAGCAAATTATTATAAAGTTTTCTTAATGTCACTGATAAAAGAAATAAATATAAACAAACTAGACATTCTCCTATGAAAAACAGAAAGTCTAGAAGGCTTGACAGGGTTTGCAAGTTAAATACTGCTAATATTGTAAAATAGAAGTCTCTAATTTCACAAATTGAGTCAATTATCTAGAAGATATTATAATAGCATGTTATTGTCCACATAATTCTGAAAATTCTCCTATGTAATATATTTTCATAGGTAAAAAATCTATAATTATCAATTTAGAAAGAACAGTTTTAGATGACTCCTAATGTGCAAAGCGGTATATGCATGAAACATTTATTAAACTGGCTTAAAGAATATATAATATAAAATATGCTTTATTGAGGTTGAGTGTGTCTTTGCATGGGTATGCTCATGTGTTTTTAGATGCACATGAGGAGATCAGAGGACAGCCTCATCTTTATGTGTCATATACATTTTGTCTGTCTAGACAACTTGTCTCGTTGTTTTGGAACTCACGATTTTATCTAAACTAGTTGTGCAACAAGTCCCAAAGACGCACCTGTCCTGCTTCTACAGTATTGTAAGTCCACAAGTATTATATGTGCTTATTGCTGCTTCCAGTTCTCCAAAAGTCATGAAACTCAGGTCTGTATACCTCTGGAGAAAATACCATTAACAACGACCTCTCTCCCCAGGAGAGAATAGATAGTCTTAATTCATCACATTAATAACATGTGCATTGTTATCATAACCCAAGAAAGATTCTACAAAAAGGAATTTTAGGTGGAAGATTGTTTTATATACACACAAAGAGAGATGGAGAGAGAGAGAGAGAGAGAGAGAGAGAGAGAGAGAGAGAGAGAGAGA